AAAACTGAAATTGTCTTTCGATGAATCCTTTGGGGCATTTGATAAGAGGAAATCCCTAAATACTGGCCATGTCTTTTCTCATCTTCAGAACGCGACACCAGGTGAGAACTAACAGGAAATCTCGTCCTGCTTCAAACAAATTTTCCGGCTTCTGGTTTCAATCGGGATTTAAAAACGTATTATTGAAGCAGAAACATCCTCACAAGATCAGACAGCCAAAATTCCTAAAACCATTAGCTAGTAAAAGTTCACATCCAAAATAGTCAGCGCGTTCCTCAAACATAACAACCTGACAATATATTGGGTGCCAGGACACAAAGGAGTTAGCATGAAAAAGCAGACAATCTGGCCAGAGGATAGATAGATACAACAAAAGAAAAAGGACTGCAACAAAGAAATGAATTTATAAGAATATACAAGCATGGATTAAATCCGTCTGCCGTAGGTTGTTGGTATCACCAAAAACAATACATAGAAAAGAAAAAAATAATTAATTAAAACTACAATAAAAAAACAACAAAGCAATATAAAGTACACAATAGTAAATAAACAAAACGAACAAAAAATGCAAAGGTGAGACTGTCTTTGGAGAGCGAACCAGAGACGTCGTGTGTCGTATCAGTACTGATAATTAAATTATCTTAGTAGTATATATACTATTATGTCAATAGTATATTTACCGCCGAAGCGAGTATTGGCCAGAGGATCTGAGACCATATAAAGAACCTACAAGTTCGATAACAAGAGAAACATAAACATAAACAGAGAAGTTGGTAAACTTACAACCAGACACAGTGAACTTATGAGTCATGAGTTTCTCATAAGCCTTCACCAAAACTGGCAAACTCATTTCTACAGTTGCACAAGGTAAAACTCATGGTAGTGATCATCGGTCAGTTGCATATGACAAAATGATGTTATGCCATAATAAGGAAGGATCTGCCACCGTATTATCTTCGAATATGATCAACCACCCCTTGGAAAAATAACCTAGGGTACCAAGAAGACAATGAATTGCAGCAATTGTAGTCAATGACTTCTTAAGAGAAGGATCGAGTCGATTGAACTTAAGTAATGAACCCTAGTACAATAAGTCATAAGGCTGCAATGCTTGGAGGGTACAAAAAAACCTGTTAGTTCGAGAACAAGATGAAACTCACACAAAAAAGGAGAAGTGGGTAAACTTGAAGCCAGACAGAGTAAACTTATGAATCATGAGTTTCGCATGAGCTTTCACCAAAACTGGCAAACACATTGCTAACAAGAAGTTAACACTCATGGGAGTGATCACCGGCGGCATCTGAGAAAACACCTGGGTATATTCAACGATGACCCCTGTAGGTTACGCCACAATGAGGAACTAACTGCCTTCCATATTATCTTCGAATGCGATCAACCGGACCTTGGAAACATGACTTAGGGTACCGGGAAGACCGGAGAAAAATAATTGGGGTAATGGTAGTCAATTCGAATCGAACAGAACTAAAGATCTAGGAAATGCACAATAGGTCATAAGACTGTAATTTTTGGGGGATACAAAACCTCGTTTCTTAGCATTCCCTTACCACCAACATTATTGGGACAAAAATCGGATAATTGAGTTCCCAATGGGTATTTATGTTTTGTAATCTACTCAATCTCCTCATCTTTTGCAACTGTGCGATCATATAACTCAACTTATGTCAAACATAAAATAAACTGTCTTTAAGAATCGTTTCTTGATCATATTGCCCAAAATGTGACTAATTGAAGTTTGTGTTTGTAAGGAGCTCCCTTTGTGCAAAACTTCTTATAATTTCTATATATAAATCAACTAACTTTATGCAAAAAATCTTTTCATTTTGGAATTTTAAAGGAAAATTGTCTAATATGAGGATTTTACCTCGTGTCAATGCTAGAAGAGATTTGCCACTCTTTTTCAAAATTATTTCCTTTGTTGAGCAACATTTAACTGCAGTTTTGGACAAAATGGAGATCACAGGTGAAGTTATTCCACATTGAGATGCAAAAAAGCTGAAACGCCTCTGACTGAAACCAAATTCAGCGAAGATAGGCTGGACAAACTGATCATAATTGACGAAATGGCAAGTTCATCGAACCCAGACCTTAGATTAGCTCATTGGGACTTAAAAACGCATCCGAGTGGAAATAAGTTTCAAAAACAGGAATAAAACAGAAAAAGATCAGAAGACATATACAAAATGCAGAGTGACAGACCAAAAACAGGGAGGATAGGTAGACCAGAACATTCGTAAAGGACCAAATGACCTGTTCAACTCCAACCCGTCCTTCGATTAAGCAGAATGGCGCTTAAACTAAAACTGTAAATGACAGGCTAAATGCTTATTTTTCAGGAAATGGGTCGCGTCCAGGTCAACACCCTGTAAACAGCAAAGAAAGTAGAAATTTTCAACCAATCCCCATTTCTAAATAAAAAGGGAAACAAAAAATATCTCAACAAAGCGCTTAATTGCCGTAAACCTGCTTGGGTCAAAATGATGCAGTAACCATTTATAAAACGACTTTTTTCCCTCCTTCAGTTTCAAAAGCATACAAATCCGTTTTAGTAGATTTGCAACGGTTTTCTCGTCAAGAGGCCGCCGAGGACGAGACGTTCATTGGCCGGTGAATTTTCCCGTAGCGAATCGACCTATGTCACATCCAAACGAGAGGGAAAATAATTTCCGTGACACCTCGGTGAAGTGGATAAGTACGTACTACGTGAAACAGATGAAGTTGTGAATCAATTATTTTCACAATCTAAGGAAAATTATGCTTGAAAAGTATTAGGTTACCACTCAGAACACCAACGTTTTAAATAATCTTGACTACTAATTAAAAACTGATCTCTCAAAGCTATGAGCAGAACGATCTTAAACATACACGACTAAACTTACGACTGATAAATCACTTTAGGCCACCAAATCATCCATAATACTTCCCTTTCAACTCGCAATAATGACGGATCATGGTCCAAGTCAGATGAGCAAAAGCTTTACTTTAAGCTCAACACCATTCCAAAATAGAATAGAAACCATAGAAAAATAACTAGTCCAACCTCTTTCCCTTCATCCAAAAACTTTTCATCATTCAGACGTCTAGTATATCATTCCTTCCCAAAAAGAAAGCTCCTGGGTACGACTTCTGAAATCCTTCGAATCCTCACTAAAAAAGCAATCCTCTTCCTAACTACCTATATAATGCCGTCCGGACTCTCTCTTATCCTTAAGGTAATCCTAAAGTCCCATAAACCTAACCATTTACCTCAATCCTATCGCCCGATGCACAAGGAAAAATCATCGAGATGCTTCATCTGAAAAGAATCTTTCCCATCATAGAAGAGAAAACATCTCTCCATTTTGGCTTCTGTATATACTCCTCTATAATCCAGCAATGCCACCGTGTTGTGCCTATATATGCACTATCTTGCTTTCTTGATGAAACGGTACTGCATGAGCCTTGATGTGACACAAAACTTAGACAGCGTCTGGCGGGTTTGATGTGGAAGCTCAAGCTCCTTCCTTCACATACTTCCTCATACTCCTATCATGCAGAACCTTAGAAAAAGAACTAGTCCAACCTCTTTCTCTTCTCCGAAAGCTTTTCTTCCTTCAAGTCGTTCAGTATATTATCAAAAACCTTCCCAAAAGTTAAGCTCCTACGTACGACCTTATAACCTCTGAAATCATTCAAATTCATCCTAAAAAATCAATCCTATTTCTACATACTATCATGCTCTGTTCACTTTCCTTAGGATGATTCCGAAGTCCGACAAACTACATTCACCTCAGAACTGAGGTGAAACCTCAGAAAGCCCGATGATCGATAAAAAAATCTTCGAGATGCTTCTTCCGAAAAGAATCTTTCTCATCCTAAAGAACAAAACTTTCACACAGTTTGTCTTCTGTAAACACCACCATAAACCAGCAATGCCGCATTATTCTAGATATCATCGTCTATATTGAGCTGAAACGCTATTCGGGTGTTTTCCTTGATGTCGCTTCACCTAATTCCTCATCCTCCAATCATACAAGAGCCCTAGAAAAACAAACATTTCAACCACTACCACTTACCCTCCACCTAAAAGCTTTCATCCTTCAGAAGTCTAGTATACCATTAAAATCCTTCCCAAAAAGAAAGGGCCTTGGTACGACCTTATATATAACTTCTAAACTCTTTCGAGTCATTACTAAAAAAGCAATCCTCTTCCTAACTACCTTAATAATGCTTTCTTAAGGACTACTCACTTTCCCTTAAGATGATCACAAAGTCCTAAGCTGAAGCGGTACTGCTCAGGTTTGCTGTGTAAGCGTCCTTCCCTTTACCCCTTTAGGGAACATCCGTAACTAGCAACTATCCTGTTAAAGCTGGAGTCCCTCATGGTATTGTATTCAACGTACTTGGCTGACCTGCCAATACATCTCTCCAAATTTTTGCAGATAATTCTCCTATCCTATTCTTCAATAAAGGCTCCCTCATCAAAATAGAACCTAGGGTGAAAAGTGGCAAAAAACAAAAATGTTGACAAAAGCCAATACGTTACCTTTACTCTACAGCGTGGAATAATTTCCCCTTCCTATGGTTAACCAAATACCTTAGGCTAAAGTTTGTACATATGGAAAATTTCACGTCATTAAGCAAATATATGGTTTTGAAAAAAAAATGAACTATCCAGTAAAGTGTACTTTTCGGCTCTTCTATATTTCCTCCACAAACATTGTCATACACCTACTGCATCAAGAAAAGAGTGTGATAAGGCAAACAGAATATTTTCAGAGGAAGCCAGTATGATCCATTGGTTTGTGGGTATAATTTCATCACCTTGTTTACATATTCAAATTGCTTTGTTGTGAATCAACACAACTTTCACATAGATAGATTTAGAATTTCACGTCCTTTTACTGGTCGGTGTAGTCAAAGGGATAAAAAAAAGAAAGCGGTAAATTTTTATAAACGACAAGCTTGATACGCCATAAAATTGATAATATTTAAAAACGAACCTCATCGCAGCCGTGCTCGACGACCTGGCCCTCGGTGCAAGAGGCAGGCATTCCATCTTCTTCCATGGACACGTCGTCCAGCGCTTTCTCGACTTGGGTCAAGTTCCCGGACTCTCCCAGGGCCCTGGCTTTCCCTCCTCCGCCTTTGTCTGAAATCATAAATTGATACATTAATTATTTTTTAAAAATTGTCGGAAAGCAACGACCAAGGTCAAACAATGATCGAGCTATGGATGAAATTTTCGCAGGTAGAGCTTGACGAAGAAGTCAAGAAGTATTGTACAAACTGGCTCGCAGAGAAATTTTTAAAAAAATGTGTACCAGGGATGTATGTAATTTACAAGGTCCTGGGGTGAGGTGAACGTCTAGCTAGTGCCGAAACAGAGCAAAACAGTAAGAATAGGCACACCAAAATGTTAGAAAATACAGGTTCATGGCACGGAAGACTTTAGATTAAGCACAATGGGACTTAAAAATGTGTTGAAGTGCAAATAGCTTTCACGTATAGGCATAATACACAAGACAAATGCGAAATGCCATATGACAGGTCAAATACAGCGAAGGTAGGTGTACCAAAATGATCAGAAATAAACCAAATTCAGATTTATTGCAAGGAAGACCTTTGATTAAGCCCAATGGGATCTATAAATGCTTTGTAGTGAAAATAGGTTGCACGTTTAGGCATAAAACATAAGGTAAATGCGAAACGCCGAATGGCAGACCAAATACAGCGATGATAGGCGGACCATAATCCGCAAGGACCGAAATACTGGTTTATCACAAATAAGATTTTACGTTAAGACCAATGGGACATAAAAAGTTGATCGAATGTAAATAGGTTTGACGTATAAATGTAAGATAAAAGAGAAATACAAAATGCTGAATGACAGACCAAAAACAGCGAGGAGAGGGCGGCCAAAATGTCGGAAATGACCAAAAAGCATGTTCACTTTCTAGTGAAAACTATGATAGAAATATACAAAAAATGAATTTAGGAAGTTTGGACAGTTTTGTCAGATTTAAATGATTCCATTGAGATAAACAGAAAGCGCGATCTGACTTAATAATGCGTTCTGGTGTAAAGACTTTTTTTCATAATAATAAAAGAAGTAAAAGATAAATCATTGTCTAAGGCGAATTGTGGAAATAAATCCGTTAGAACAAAACAGCGAAAATAAGCGGACCATGATCGAAAACGACCTAACTACTGGCAAAAGAATATGCTAAAACCTACTCTTCAGTTCGAACTGTAATGTTCAGTGTAAATTATGATTGAAACATACAAAATTTAGGAAGGTTGGAAGGTTAAATGATGTTATTGAGATAAAAAGTGAGATTTCTTGACTTAGATTAAGCACTTAACTTGAATTAATAATAGGTTGGTAGCATAACAGGACGGAAAAGAAGACAAAGACCAACCCCTAAAAATGGCGAATACCGATACTCGTATAACATATAAAGTCAGCTAGAATAAATCTAGGAAGATAGGGGATGATGATAATTTGTTCATCACCCCGCAGACCTGATAACATATTTCACAATGATTATTTGGAGATCGTGAGATGCGGTCTGGTGTGACGTAGGTTTTAGAAAAACATTTTCTTTATCGTGCCAACGTTTCGATCTTTATTGAGATCATCTTCAGGGCTCAAAGTGTTTGTTTTCTGCGTAGTAGTATCGTGTTGAGAGTGCCCATCCAGTCCAGAGTTGGACAATCTCAACACGATACTACTACGCAGAAAACAAACACTTTGAGCCCTGAAGATGATCTCAATAAAGATCGAAACGTTGGCACGATAAAGAAAATGTTTTTCTAAAACCTACGTCACACCAGATCGCATCTCACGATCACCAAATGATCACTAACTAACGGTCACTAAACACCACGTATTTCACAATAAAAAACTAAGTAAAGCATCCTCTTACTTCCCTACAAAAGTTGCACCGTTGACATATAGAATTAGGAAAAGAAAATCAGAATCGATAAAGAAAGTACGCTTTCTAAATGTATTTGGCAGAATTCCTGCCATTCTTTCGTTTCCAGTCGACGTTGAAAGCACGGAATGGATTTCTTTTAATTTTCCACCGGCGCGCGAAGGAAAAGCGTCAGGGCGGAGTGGCGGGGGGAGCTTTACGGTCAGTGGCCACATCACCTTCCTTTGAAGCACGGCCAGAGGCACCAAAAGCGCGGAGCATTTCGTTTGATTTATGTTATTAACGGCGAAGAGGTGCGAGGCGGCTCCGCGCTAGCTGGCATCTTTTTTTTATAAGATGGCCTTCTCACAAAATTTGTACCGGGTTTCTTCGCTGTACAACTTCACGAACTCAGTCCCTACCGAGTTTACCAGGTTCGCATTTGATATCCCACCTGGCAATATCACATCCGACAGATTTATTGTATTGGAGTACATTTAATAATAGCCACATGGGAGGTTTTACTATTGTACGAAGCAAAATTGGATTTAGGGACACAGATAAGTGAATCGGGAAGCGGCACTAGAGGTAACCTCATCGATAGTCCAGAGATGTGTGGCATTGCACCTAAGCGTATCAGACATCAGGTATTACCCTTTTTTTGGTACGAGGACACAGGGCAGAGGAGCAACAAGGAATCCAAGGAAAGTTCGATGAGGACACTTACCTGACCAGAACCCTTTTGCAGATACCAAACTGTCACAAGTAGATCCATCAGACAATGGGCTTAAGAATAATTCAATAGAATTTTATTTTAGGGCAGAAACAAGCGAAAAATTATCACAAAGAAAGAGCTTAGGAGAAACTAACGTCAGAATTACCAAACCTAGGATGTATTAAGTATAGAATGATTGTAGGATTGCTGACTGATCATTGCAGACTCCGTAGGCATATGTAAAGACTCAGAGCAACAAAAACAAGCAGATATCACAACGAAGAAGAAGAAACAGCGGAACATATTATCTGTTGTAGGAAAGACGTGCTTCTGGGATAAAAAGCCTGAGATTAATGAAGAGCTGTAGATAATCAGTACTCATAATCAACTGTAGATACTGCACAATAGACCAATATTGGTTGTGATGCCTAAGTTCGTAAAGAGCCTCCATTTAATCTCATCCTTAACCTTACAATCTTAACAGAGAAGAGAAACACATACCGACCCTAAAATATTCTACGATATAAATTGCCAAAAACGTAGATACATCGGACAATGGGTTAAAAAGAAGTCCTCGATTCATGGGCATGTGTTCCAGGGCCGAGGCATGCGAAAAAGTCATCAAAGGGCAAAAACTAACGGTAAAACTATATACCTAGGCTATACTAAAACTGGAATGATTGTAGGACTGCTGATGGGCACTGCAGACTCCGGAGGCATATGTGAACACTCAGAAAGCTCAGACTCGCAGCAGAAAGAAGCCAGATGTTGCCGGAAAGAAGAAAAATAGCAGAAGACGTCTTCTGTTGGAGCAAAGGCATGGAGGCTGAGTTTCCTACTGCACAGAAGTCCTTAAAAGCTTTGGCATCTCTAAACGCTTAAGCTTAAGCTTAACTAGATAATAATAAATACTGCACAATAGACCAATATTGGTTGTGATGCCTAAGTTCGTAATGAGCCTCCATTTAATCTCATCCTTAACCTTACAATCTTAACAGAGAAGAGAAACACATACCGACCCTAAAATATTCTACGATATAAATTGCCAAAAACTAGCTCTAGATAATAATGGATATCGCCCAATCAACCAATTAGTTGGGATGCGTAAGTTCGTAAAGAGGCTGATTTTAACCTTATCTTATATCTATCTATATATCTTTTTAGCCTTACAGTTCTAACAGTAGTGAGGACATCTATCGGCCTTGAACCGTTCTGTGACTTTTTTAACGACAGCAGAGGTCATATCAACTTATCAACCTTCTGCGTACCGCTTTGAAAAAAAGCCCATTTGTAAGTATGACGGGTTCAAATGCAGGACCGCTGAATTCTGCGACATACCAAATTGCCAGGGATCAGCGGAAACAATCCTGTGAAAATAATGCTAGGAAGAAGAAAAAACAGAACATATCCTCAGAAAAAGCCTCAAGCTAAACAAACATCCTAACCTTTAGTTTCTAGCCTTAACCTCATAATTTTGCTGGACACAAGTTTCAGTCTTTTTATCTGTCTCCATAATCATAGTGACTTGTTGGTATATGTTATGGATTTAGCTTTTCTTTTCCAGTGAGTAGAAACCTTCTCCTTAATACGCCTTCACCATATAATATGTATTGCGGTTTTCTTTTCTTCATGGCAGAACCTACGACCTAAATCTTCCCCCCTCTCACGTTATGTTCAAATTGTGTAGTTTTACCCTTTTTATGGAAAGATAATGATGAGATATGGTAGTGGAAAGATTCGATGAACACACGCTGATATATGCTGGTCACTTGGGCCTGTCTATTCTCGCTTGTTTGCATGTCACTCAACCGAGTTTTAACGCCATCTTCAATGATGAACTTGTTGCATTACAAATTTTGAATTTTCTGCAGTTGCTTTTGATATCTGAGTATTGCCGTTCTAGTTTTTTTTCCGCGCTAAGGAATCCTGAAAATGCTCTTTTAGTATTTGTGTCAAAGGCGAAAATATCGTCGAATAGTATTTGAAACCGTTTGCTCCGAGTTAGGACATCCGTTCGATGCTGTTGCAGACATCTGGAAATACCAAATTACGACATTTTCCCGAGAAAGAGTCAAATCACGTTCAATTACTATCGATGACGATTTTACTTAGTCCTTTCAGTTTTATATTTTTTTAAAGAGACGGTTTGAGAGATCCTTTTCGAAGGGCCGATTTCGCCCGAAGTAGGTAGCCCCTCTCACTGAAGAAATCGCGATTAATCGCCCCCCAAGGCCTCGTCCGTCTATCTGCATATCTGGGATCTTCTTCGGCCCGTGGAATCTTCGGCTTTCACGTCTGTCTGGAAAGGCATTCGGCCCCGGAAATGAGTAATGAGCTGTGCAACAGGTGTAGCCCGTCGACGATCCTGTTTTGTTGTCGACTCGCCTCTTCTTGAACCTCGAGAGTAAAATGTAGCGAGTTATCCGAATTGAAAAAAAAACTTTCAGGTTCCATGGGTACGTTTTCAATAATCTAATCAATTGCAAAACCTTTTTGATAACCTGGGAAAACTCTAGAGTT